ATATATATATATATATATATATATATATATATATATATATATATATATATATATATATATATCTGGAATTGGGCCCCCAAAATCTTGTAGCCCCAAAACAATCGTGGGACCGGCCCTGTTGGTAACAACGTATTGCTCTCCACGTGTGGGGCGTCTTTTTATTGTTATTAGAGTAAAAGTAGTGCTTAAAAAAAGGAGGGTTACCCTGCAGTTTTGGCCGAGGTTTGGTTACATTGCCTCTGAAGGCAGAGAAGCGGCTGCCCGGTCGGTTCGTCCTGGTTTGGAGCTTCAGGGAAAACAGCTCACTCCTCATCACCTTCATCCTCGTCCTCAGGTTTTCGTTCTCCCTCAGACTCTGGGTGAGATGCAGCCGCATAGACTCGGAGCTCTCCGAGAATAGCTGTACGATCTCCGCTACGGCAGCTTTCACCAACACGTTCATGATGGACATAAGCTGCGACTCCATGTTAAGGCTGCCGAGCGCCGCTGGCATGTCTGCGGACATGTTTTACAGGAAAGTATGTTGCAAAACAACACCGCAGGGTCTCAGTCTATGTGTGTTAGCCCTGAAAACGAACTACACAGCAGTCTTCCTTCCGGGTAGTAAAGAGGGCGACTACCGTAACGCTTAGAAAGAAGACGCAGCTCCTTATTGTTGGTTCAAAAGTTTTTGTTGGATCCGTGAAAACTTTGTCAAATATGCTCTCGGACCTTAGGTTTTGTGTTAAATATATAACTTTTTTCTTTTAACTGAAAGGTTTCAGCCTTCATGCGTTTTTATTTATTAATATTTAGGTATTCAGTGTAAAACATTCAGTCCAGATATGGTCAGCCTATAAATTGTGTTCATGTTTGACGTTAAGGGGATTCTAATGAAAATAAAAAGCTAATTTATATCACATTTCAAACTATAATTTAAAGATCCACTGACAAAAGTAGATTAATGCAGTTAATGTTTGACCAACCTACTGTATTTTCGATTTAATACTAGATGTGATTAAATGCAATCCTTAAAGTCCAATAAAATACCAATACGGTAATAGCCGGTGGCTAAATTTGCATGAATGCGCCTCGGGTAAGCCCCCGCCGCATACCAACTAATTAAAATACGAAAATTCTTCAAAATGTTATGTAATTCTGCACAAAAGGTTTGACGTTTAGGCAATGGTACTTACTTGTACAGTAGAGCAGTCTCAGAAAATTGTGAAAACACTCCATCAACAATATGTAGAAAAGTGTTATACATAGAAGACATTCACATCTAGCTGCCATTGTTGGCATTGCTATTAACAACTGGAGGAAAATACATAATTCATCACTGAATCAATTTTAACTTTCATTTACTTCTCAATAGGGCAACAGACCCCTACAAAATGTTGGCATTTATGCTTGCGCTCTCTCCTATAGCCCTGAGCAGAAAACCATATTGTCAAAAGCCATTATTGAACATGCTTCATTAAGAGCATGTATTTGTTTGTATAAGCTAAATAAACAAAAAAACAAAAAAACATTAATGTTACGGTTATTGTCATGTTTCTTTGTTCTTTCCGTAACAAATCCACCAATACATCTTTAATTTTCATTCAACGATTTCTATTCCATCAGTCGTTTTATTATACTTTTGTTATTTACACACGTTTATGGGAAGAATTTATCTTTTTTGGAGTGTAATTAAAATAAAAAGTGATAAACACAGCACAAGAGACAAAACATTTTCCATATATTTGGAACATTAAACAACTAGCATCTGAGTTGAGACAGCTGTATGCAACACTGAACTAAGTCATCATCAACAGCAATCTTTGGTCTTTTCAGTCTTTTGTTTTCTGTCAGTTTTGTTCTAAGTCTCTGCCTCAACCAAAACTCCCCCAGCATCTTCATCCTGACGCCTTGTTGGGCAATCTTCCTCCTCTTCATATCCCTTTTCTGCTTCTTTGTCCTCTTCCAGTTTCTCCTCTTGGTTCTCCATCTTCTCACAGTCAGCACATGATTCCTCTCCTGTTGCATCACTGCCTTCCTCTTTCTCGGTGCCAGCCTTCTCCTTTTCCTCCTTGTCCTTCCTCTCTTTCTCTATTTTAGAGAGGCTGTGGCAGAGGGACTGCACATATGTGAACACACACATCGGGTCTGGGTGATTTCCCATCATGATCATGTCAGCCACTTCCAGTAGAGGGCAGCAGTCAGCCAGGGACCTGGAGGAAGAAGGCAGCAGAGAGAGAAATCTGATGAGCCACAAAGGTCAGAGAAACATCTTTGTTTCTACAGATTTTAATAGGAACTATCTGGTCCCATTATATATCTTAAACACCCTGAATTTAAAGGTTTTTAAATGTGGTATTTAATTGTTAATATGTTTAAAACAAAACAAGTCTTTACTCTGCCGTTTGGAAGGCCAAAGTGAAGTTTTTCTCCCTCTCCTCTGGTTTCAGTGAGCTGTAGTCGAAAGCTTCCGGGAAGAAGCGATGGATTAGAGCACAGAACGCCAGTCCATCACTCCAGGACGAGGAGAAGTTTTCAATGTTTACACCCTACAGGGATCAAAGAAGAGTACAGGTAATGTCTTCTTCTTGGCACTGACATCATGACCTGAATCTGATGGGTTTTTGATGGGTTCGACATGTTGAATTTGCCTCATATTTGCGTGTCTTGTTGCGGCACCACTGAAGAATCTTCTGTTTGATTGAAGCTCCAGTTGCCATCGCTGTAGCGGACTTCTGAATTTTGAAATTGCGAGGTATTGGTGTCCTACAAACAAAAGAGAGAAAGAAAATGCAATTTCCTCAAGCTTTTTGGAATCCCTTTTTAATCTAAGAGTTTATAGATATTTTGGCTGTTACTCACTCTGGAGCACCTTGTTGAAACTTAGCAATAATGTCATTTCTGTTGGACGCTCTAATAGAACGTGCAGAGGCTCTTGGTCGAGAGATGGAGGAGGAAGGGGCCCCCTTTCTTTTAGGCTTCACTTGTTTTTCTGTCTCCTTTGCCTTTCCTTTGTCGGCCACCACTTTTTCCTCTTGTTTTGGATGTTTTTCCTGCTCACTTTCTTTTGGTTCATTGTTTTTCACATCTTCTCCTTGATTCTTTAGCTTTACTCCCTCCTTGTCCTGGATCTCCTCCGTGATGTTCCCGCCTTCTTGATTCTGCCTCTCATCCACCTGCTCTTCTTTCTTGTCACCATTCTCCACATCTTCTTTCCCATCTTGTTTCTCTGTTAATTCAGCTTCCTTCACGTCATCAGCTGCGGACCTATTATCTTTATCTTGTCCTCCCTCTTCAGCACACTGAGAGACATCCTCCATGTTGTTGTCTTCAGCATTAGCCTTATCTTGTGCTTTTTCTGCCTCCTTGCTCTCTGCATCAGTTACCCTTTGACCTTCTGTGGTGTCCTCTGTCCTCTGACAGAGGTGTCCTGTGGTGTCCTCTGAGTCCTTACACCTGTCATCCAGTGCTGGCTTGTCCAGCTGGACAACAAAACAGGAAATACGTTATATCAAAGTGAATGTCATTAATTATGCCCTTATTTAAGCTATATTTCAAAGTCACGCAACAAACAACTTTAATGAATAAAAAAAGAAATGGACACAAAACTTAGAATTTATGGTGAAACCAGAGGAGGCCAAAATTATCCACATAGATTTTATTTTATACATACAACCCTGTATGTATAAAATACATAATGAATCATTTTATTGCCGAGAATTCACACCATTTTTCTATCAACAAGCTTCTTACACAATTCTGATTATTTGACCTTTTTGCTTGGCAGAAACTTGTTGGATGGATTCTACCATCTGGCAGGATTGGTTACCTGCCATTGTCCCAGTTTTTAAGAAAACATACAAATTTTCAATGTGTTTTTTGGTCAGCTAATTTACATTCAAAAGTAATTAGATGATCAGGATCATTATACTGTGTGAACACCCGAGTTTCAGTCATGTAGCTGTATTTAGGAGTACCTCTTCCTGAGTAGCACTCTACTTTGTGCAATGGAAATGTACCCCTGGTACTGGAGCAGACCCTTGTCATGATGCATGACAGCTGATCCAGTATTTAGGTGTAAAAGCCCCAAACATTTGATTTCTGTAGCTGCATTTCCCAGTCTTTGTCTCTTTTGACCATAAACATTTCCTTTAAAGATCTGACTTAACCATGTGGGCAGCTGCATAATTTAGTTGATCTCAACAGTGTTCATTTTGGAGAAACCACTTCTTTTTTAGCTTTTATGCCCTCAGTCCATGGTGATCTTCAAATTACAGAGACAACGGTGTTCCAGCGTTTTCTGGTCACTTTCTTGGTTGTTGTTAGACAACCTAACCAATTTCTATTCCTCTGAGGGCAACATTTTGGGATGGAAGCTGTGGTACTTTTCCTATTTTATCTGTCAAATTCTATTTATTTTTCATGCATTCAGTAAAATATATTCAAACAAAGTATACTATTTAATAAGTTAAAGTTCTCAAGGATGCCCTATAAATTGCTTTGATAAATGCAGATGCAACAGTTTATTGCAGAACGCACATAAAAGGATGAGAAGGCATTTGCAAAGAACTGTGCACAAAGGCATTTAATGCTTTATCCAACTAAGATTCAGACAGCATATTTTATTTTTACTGGATTCAGACATCCATTTTTTTGTCAAATGTTTAATTTTCATTGTCTATGTAGCACTTTGGTCAATGTTGACCAAAAATAGTTTTAAACCACCTCACAATATACACCATCTAATTTCTGAAACTTTTAAATAAGAGTAAATATTTAAATACAAGGTCCTAATTTTTGAACTTTTAGTGTTGCCTGATCTGAATCTTTTCCCTCATTTGTTAATGACCTCCCACAATAACATTCACATCGGGTCAGGTTTCCCAGCACCGAGTCATCAGCGAAAATAGGAAGCTCCAGTGAGTGAGTATGCTCAGTGTGCATCACCCTGTATAACGAATGAGTCATTCAGTAAAGAGTAAGAACAGGTGCAACGCAACATATGCAGCCAGAATCACGACACCTGCTGTGACCGCCAATGCTCCGGTTGAGCGATTCCTGTATGGACTCTAAAATGCCAATCACCGAATTTGTTCCGTTATCTTTCATACAAATCACAATAACGTGTGAAGCAAAGCACAAAACTGACCTGATTATTGATGGCGTCTGGCTGGCAGGTTATTTCCTTCTCTTGGTTTGATGGATCTTCATCCATGATATCCAAATAAAAGCAGTTTGTCTACTTTATCAAGTTTGTTGCCCTTTACTTTCCTCTAAATCCAATAAGTTTCAATCAGGTTACTTATTCTACATCTCAGTTTCTGCTTCACCCCCTCAGGCAACACAGCTCTGTAGGAGAGCTGTGTTTGTGGTCATCTGCCTTCACCCCCTTTTAGCTAATATTCCCCTCCCCCTGCTTTGTGAGGATTCCTATTCTTTATCTGACCTTTTGAACACAGGTTCCTAAAATAGAGCCATAGGCCCAGTCCTACTGGCCTGACAGCTGCCTCTGCTGTGGAAACCACAAATGTACACAGATCCACAAGCAGCAAACCCATTTAATGTACAAGTTCCCTCTAGATACGTTTCATTGGTGCATAAGCAGTTCTGTGATGAGCGAGTGTTTAACTTTAACTTTGAGTTAATTACATCATGGAGACACTGAAAAACCTACATGGAATCACTTGGTCAGCAAAACACTTGCAATATGCTTAAGCTGGACCCTCTAGAGAACCAAGCTATAGCCGTAATTTATAGTATATTTTGCTCCCGTTCTGTGTGCAACACATAACGGCAGCTGCAGTTCGTTCCAACAAGCGTCTCACCCACTCAAGTCCCACAGTAGCAGACAGTACCATGGTCTGTTCAGCTTCACACTTTGTAGTTTGCCTCAGGTTTTAACTAGACACCCAAGCTTCCCACACTTAATTTTGTGCAATACTCTGACACAAGATGTTGGAGGAAAAGTTTATTAAAAGATGTAGTACATCCTTAAGACACCATCTACAAGAGAAAACCCAGTTAAGCTAATGGCAAGATACATTAGTACTTTACAACTGTCAACCCACCTTTGTCATATTTAGTACCAAGACCTTAACGGGGCATCTTAGAGCCGTTGCTGCTGCTACTGAGGGGCAGGGTTCTGTGGAGCATCAGAGCCATGTTCTTTCAGGTAGTGGATGGTCTGGTACTCTTTGCCCTTCTCATGGTTTTTGCTGAAGGTAGTGTAGGTGCCAGGAGGGTACTGTCCATACAAGAGCCTGTAGTCAAAATCAGGGTAAGGGTAGGGAAAGGGGTAAGGAAGACAGTAGGGAGAAGGGAAGCTCAACAAGCCACCCACACCAGAAGCTAGCAGGGCAACAGGTGGAAGACCAGGCCCCACATGGTCAGATGGGTAACCAAACGCCTCCATTTGCTGCTGGTAATTCCCAAACTCAGCCTCCTTCACAACATTAGACATTTCTCCAGACTGAAGGGTCGGTGTAGAAGGTGTTGGAGGGAGTGGTGGCCCAACAATGCTCAAGCCTCGAGGCTGGGTGTTTGTTGTAGCTTCCTCAAAAGCTTGAGGTGCAATAACCAACTCCATCTCTGGAGAAAGAGTTAGTTTCAGGTTAGTGTTCAATATCTGTTGCAAGCCCAGAAGAAGCTTGGTTACATGTTTCAGGAACTTACCAGGCAAGTTAGCCCGAGTTCCAGCCTGTGGAGGAATGGCAGCATATCCTGCTTGAAGAGGCACAAAGGAGCCAACAGGAAGAGGTGCAGAAGCATCAGTGACATATCCTGCAACAGATCCTGCTTGAACAGGCACAAAGCCAAAACCAGTGGTATATCCTACACCAGGCACAACTGAGCTCAGTGCAATAGGCATTGGCTGGGCCTGATAATACTGGGGTGGACCTAGATATTGACCCACTGGCTTAGAAACACCTCCATATGTGCTGTAAAATACAGGTGCAGAGTAGCCAGTGGCGGATCCCTGGTGAGAGCCATCATCATCACCACTTGAGTCACTGGGTCTACCCTGGCTTTGGGATTTTGAACCTGGGTAAAGAACAAGATTCAGAAACAAGTTCAATTACATGCGTGTCCCCCTTCATGGTTTAATAACCTCACCTTTTATTGGAGAGCCATGAACAGCCACAAGCAGCAAGGCAAAGAGAGACACCCTGAAACATTAAATATTTAGAAGACTTTACTTTAAAGCAGTAAGGCACATCACAACCCTTACTGGATTGTTTTGTGCTAGCAAGGAGGTGGGCCTTTCAACCTACCTCAGAAAGACCTGTGCAGTCACCATGTTGAACAACAACTATGATGCCAAAGGGGACGGTAATGGTTTATAAATGTTGCCAAGGGCCAATCAAAGCCTAACAACACACAGCTGATGATGACTGACTTTCAACAATGGGAACCAAAACACATCAAATCTTCTATCTACACTCCAGTTCAGTAGTTGGGGCAATAATGTATTGTTTAAATAACTTTTTTCTAAATTAAATAACTCATTTTTGTCTCATAAACTTAAAAAGTTATTTGCCAAACATAAACTTTTATTTGCACACATTAGGAATATTTTGTTGCGATTTTGGGCCCTGCCCACAACTTCATGTGAGAAAAAAGTTTTTTAAGCATTACTCAGTAGGCTTTCTCATGGTGACATGCATTAACAATTACATTTTTGCTTTTGTTTTTTTTCTTTTTTCTGCAGTTCCTCTTTAAAGTTTGATGCAGCTCTGCTTTCCTGAATGGACCATGTTCATCTCCACTGCAAGTGTAGCAAACAGGCAGCTCTTTTTTATAGATTACAGTCCACTAAAAGGTTGCATTGTGCCCCTGTTTACATTTTTAATAGTGTAATTCTGTAAAGACAAAATATGTCTGGTGGTCTAGCTCTTATTTACATATCCTGATAAATTGCGGGTTTGAATGTTGCAATACTTTCCTATAACAAAACAGATCTGCAAAAAGAAATTACTAATAAAATATCTTACATATGCGTAGTTGTATGCTCTATATAGAGATTTTCCTTAGCTTTGATTGTATATCTCACAATTTTGTTATCATTGTTTATTAAACTCTGAAAGCTGTGTGGCTTTGTTAATATTCTGTCCTAGAATGTGGTAGATGTGCCCTTTTTTTGAGCACCTGCCCCTTTAGTGGTCTCTGCATGGCCCTGCTAAACAGCTATCAGCCCATATCCACACTGTATGGTCTTGTTGAGACTAAACTCTGGTGACCATCAAATGGAATAGATTTAATTTTCTGTTGGCCTGGTGGTCTCAGTACAACTCTAAATGAGTTTAATGAAGTGTTTGATAATTAACAGCACAATGTAGTCATTGTTTTTTTTTTCTACATTAAAAAGCAGAGCAATAAAAACCTCTTAAATCATGAGATTATACATTTTGCACTAGTCTTCCATGTCTGAAGGTATTATCCTTATATATGTTAAACAACCAAACGTGTTCCTTTCTGGGACCACTTACTTATTTTGCACTTTTCTAGTTATATAAGAGACGTTTTGCTAATTTCCACTTTTATGCTGATGATGCAATGTTAAATGTCACAGTTCCTACAATTGAATATTGTGAATATTATTTACGACTGTTCAGGTTTGCAAATTTCATCTCTTTTGTATTAAAATATATCTGTTGCGTTATAGATTTTGCAGATTAGATGGTAATTATGATAACAGGCTTGAGCATTGTTGGGCCACCACTCCTCCCCAGCACCCTCCGTGCTGACCCTTCAGTCTGGAGAAACTTATAATATTGTGAATGAAGCTGAGCTTGGGAACTACCAGTACTTGATACGTACTTGATGGTATGTATGAAGATTTGCTGTGGGAAAAACTATCATAATGTTGTCTAATCACTTTTTTTCCCTCTTTAACAGGTTGTCTGACTGATCAAATTGCAATAAAATGCATGACATGGTCCAATTTTTGTATTCAATTTAATAAAGATCACTTGAACTGCAATTTTGGCAAGAGTTTTCCGAGATGAGGGGAACTGACTGAGACAAAACAACTCAATCCACACATGGACGAAAGGTGACTCGGGCTAACATACTGTAAGGTGATTATGTAATGGCTCTGTCAGGGTACTGATTGTATTAAATGATGCAATGCCGAAACGGTCACACGGTGGCGGAAGAGTTTTTTTTTCCCCCTCCACCATATCCTTTTATGGGCTCCGTACAAAACCTTTATTTCTGGTTGGCGACTACATAATTTATGCTCTCGATAGACCTGAATTAAAAAAAAAAAACAACAACAACAACAACAACAACAACAACAACAACAAAAAAACGGGACCGGTTTGCCTCTTGGTTCCTCTCTGGGTATTTTGGACCCTGGGGATGCTTGGAAACCCTTGTGCGGCTCGCCCACCTAATGCTAGGGGTTTTTCCTGTCTGGTTCCAGCGACAAAAACAGTCATGGACAACGGGGTCGCTGTAGGAGATCTCAACACGCCACGTAAGTGATTCTGCCGTGCAATGACTCCATAAGGAGGAATGAAAATATTCAACGCTATAGTATCTTGATGCACAATTGCGCCTCATCACCTGCTGACGTCAGCATCCGAACAGTGCTGTCCGCCAGCAGCAAGTACTACTGAACATTTGACTAAAATTGCCTTCGTCAATCCCTACTCATTTTAAAACTAAATGTTTTCAAACCTGTCATTTTAAAAATTTTTTTTTTTATTTTTTTTTTTTTTTTTTTTTTTTTTTTTTTTTTTTTTTTACGGCGTGGAGCCCTGAGGCATCGCTTATCAGTGATGGAGGGTTAAAATCCGTAGCCTTCAATCTGTGTGAAAATATTTCAAAGTTCATCTGAAGATAATAGGCGGTGCATGACCTCCAAACTTTCTCACTGTTGCTGCTGCTTAGCACCACGTTTTCCCCACGAGATGAAAGCAGGAGCTGGATGGTGAATTGAGTTAGAGTTTAAGGTAGGACAAGGTGTCAAAATATTTCCACGCAGACATGTCAGTTTTATCTGCTCATGCAAAAAGATGATCAATTTGTAACAATTAGGTTTCTTCAAGTTGCAAGAAAAAGAGCTCTGACCTTTGAGCTTCACTCTAGATCTTGACGCAGAAACAATGGTGTGGTAATCTAACGGTGAAGCATTGATACCCCTTGACATTTTCTACATTTTGTCAGCCCTTAACCACAAACTTCAGTGTGTTTCATTGGGATCGTGTGTGATAGTTTAAAACCAACGGGTGCACAATTAATTAAACAGCAAATGGTTTTGATCTATTTTGGGGGGGGGG